ACCGACGAGGAGCAGATCATCAAATACCTCGCCGGCTGTGGCATATGGACCCAAGGGAGACACTACGAGGCTGCCATTGAGCTCGCGGAGTTGCGTGGAGTCAAGGGTGCACCGACACCGGACCCTTTCGCCGACTAAGTGGGGAGTACGGACGCTGCGTGCCCCCCCCCCTCTCTCGTCGCCGTCGCTGTCGTTGCCGCCATCTCGCGTCTGTGCTATTATTTGGACTATAACAATCTTATATCGCATTATCAAATCATTAATACCCTGCGGCATCACTATGTAATATGACCACTCCTCCCGCCGCATACCGAAACTGCATTGTATGATGATCCTCGTCATGGACACTACCCCGAATCGCGATGTAGATGACCATTGAGTCTCGGACCCTATTATAAAATATTTTCATACAACAATAATACCATTATATCGCTCCCCATTGTCATCAGAGACAATGTCTCGCTCTAAGTGGGGAGGGTGTAAGGTGGGCGCCACCGAGTGGCGCCGAGTTTGGACGTGTTTGGTTACTGAGTGATAGATGGAAGGATTGGGCAGGCGGATCGTTAGACAACAACTACCTCTGAATCTGCTTAGCTCAATTACCTATCTTGTATCTCTCGCAATAAGACGAGGTTCCGTTTATTGGTGTGTGTGTGATACAAGCTAACTGTACTGACTACGGAGATTCTACAATAGGATGATTGTCGCTTCCTGGTCAGTAGTCACGGTCGCTGTTCGCCAAAACACTTACTCGTAGCGACCCGACCCAGGGGCAGTGTCAACAGCTTCTTAACGCCCAAGGACTCCGCTGGACTTATTCCCACTGTGCTAGCACATCGCTCCCATGCGGTCAACGATGATTGATGTTTGCTGCTAATGCTTTAGCGCCTGGGGTAGAGGATATTCTCGTACCGATTGGAAATGAACGTGCGGACGCGAGGCAATCAACTTGTCCATATGTGTATGGAGGGCTGTGCTACGATATACTGGGTACCGGAAAGCCCTATGGATTCCTTGGTCGAATCGGAGAGGGGCGCTTTATGAGCCTAGCCGACACGGATCTCCGAGTCCGCAGGCGCATGTGCTAATTGACACAACGTAGAGGGCCACAGCAAGACACTGAAAGCACGTCTTAACCCCCATGTTCATCAGCTTCGGTGGGGAACCTGAATGAACAATTGGAACAACGCCCATGCGGGATAAGTAGTAGCCATATATTCATGCCAAGTAAGGCAACGTCACAAGTCAGCTCCCCGTGATTGGCCGGGCGCTGCAGCAGGTCGTGCAGGTCTCCCAAATCCTGCACCCACCTGGGCTAGGGAGGCCCAAGGCCTATACCCTTGCAAGGGCGCCGGGTTGGGTGCTTCAGGTACAGGACCGACACCTGGATGTCTTGCCCCTATGGTCGCTCTGTCTGCCCTGACTGGAGTGCCGGGGAACGGGTCGTTCAACGGTGCGAGCGGTTTGGGCAGGATAACATTATGGGCTGTGAACCTCCTCTGTGCCGTGCTTCCTCCACCAAGTGGAGCTCTTTGAATGACCCCGCCGCGAGAGTTACGCCCCGGTGCAACAGGCAAGCGGGCTGTTAAGCTGGGAGGAGCAGCATACTCCCCAACTTGGGCTTTGCGCAGTCGTTCGCTTGGCTTTCGTCCGGTGAGAGGGGGATTTGGCGGATTGCTACGAGGCGGGTGAGGCCTCTTCTCCACTAAAGACCTATTATCTGTTGGAGGCTTCGGGTTTGGGGCCCTCAAGCTCGAGCGCTGGATCGGTAGTGAAGCCATTATTGAGGGAGTTTTGTCTTCCACAGAATTACCCCCGAGCGACGGTTGTCGAATAATGTTGGTATTTCGGAAGGTGACTTGAGGCGGTACTTCCCGCTGTAGCCATGACGGAAATTCTGAGTTCTCCCAGTGTCCCTGTGGTCCTCCATCGTGAATACAAACGATGTTCGCATTTTGCGGGGGCCGCGGGTCGACTTTCGGGATAAGAGGAGTGTCATCCCGTTGGTTTTTGTACTGCGATGTCGCTTTGGGAGGGGTAGGCTCTTTCACCTCTGCGATCTCGACTTTTTCAATTTTGTCTGAGGGTTTCCGTAGCGCTTCGGTGTCGCGGCTCATTTTCTTGAAGAGAATCCGAAAACAGGGGAGGACTAAGCATCCGAAGAGGATAAAGGCACCAATGGTGCCGGCGACAGCAATCCCAGCTATCGCCCGGGGGGAGAGCGTTCTATGAGCGACGGCTGAAGACGGCGAGGGAGTTGCAGACGGATACAACGCTGAAGAAGAGCGGCCTGGCCCAGTGACAGATGGTGATTCCATTGGGGGACCAGACAAATGTCCACTGGCGGTCGAATTTAGGATTGCTGAGGGCTCACTAAGACAGGCGGAATCGTTTGTCTGCTCGACAGTTATTAGCTCCGTTACCCTGCCTCTACGGCCAGCAGCATCCACCATGGTGAGAATTACTGTAGAGGAGCGGGGAAGAGTAGCTGTCCACTCAAACGATGTAGATCCTAATGGCGGGCTTAGAGCGAAGACTTTGTTCCCGGGCATGATACCCTGCTCCCCTGTATTAGATCGCGACATCTGACCGGAAACTGGCAATTGTGAGCTTACTATGACTGTAATAGGTTGAGTTGTGCCCTCATCATATCCAGAGAATTTAAGAGGCCTATGAACAGGTCCGAATGAGTATGGCGGGGAAGTTTAGATGAATGTCAACGTACTGGCATTGCTGAATATTATCGTCCGACGCGAAGTCAAAGTCGGGAGTATCTGTCATAGCCGAACAGGCAATACCATCTATATTCTGTCCAACGCTGAGCAAACCCGAAGTGCCACCTGCTGGAAAACCAGTAGCGTCCTGCAGGATGAATAACAGCAATGTGCCGGAAGGGTACAGAATCCGTGTCTGGTAGAAACCATTGCCACTTGCGAATGCTAAGGAGGGCACGGATTGAGAGACTTGACTGCCATTTACCTACGCATTGTTGATAACAAGCCTATCACATCAGAGGCAAGAAGTGCCTACCGTGGCGAAGTTGAATTGAAACGGTGGTTGCCCGCCTGAAGGGAATAAGTGTACGCCCGTCACTGCCACCACAACCCTGGCTCACCTGTCCACGAGATGTTCATGACACCGCATTCCGTAGGTGGAGTGAACGTAATCTCAACTGCACCGCATAGTCGGGAAGTGACGGAGATCCACAGAATGGCAGCGACGACGGGAACGAAACTCATCCTTCTGGAAGCGAGCGATGTGCTAAGGGTCTTGACGGGTAGCGGGCACCAGGAAGAGACGTGTACACCTGACTGAGAGTTCATAACAGAGCAGTGTGTCGCTGAGGGCGAAGCTCAGCATCCGCAGGACTGCATGCAGATGGAAGAAATGCCGAGGAGCTACTCACGAACGGAGAAGAATAGACGTTTGTTACGCGCACAAGACATGGGTTGCTATTAGGAGGTATATGATGAGTGGTTCAATCACCCTTGAACCGAACATCTTCAGAGCAACCCGACGCCTGAGAACGCTCCAAAAGATACAAGGCCAGCAGCGATCATCCAGGGTCACCCGAGATTCAGTGCGCAGTAATTAAGCGCTAGACTAGTGAGCCTGCATATCTTCCGCTTGTTGGAGAATATTGGAAAATAAGGTAGATGCATACTCCGAGGCCGGCGGACTCGGTACGTCGAAGCTCCCAAGGACAAGGACACCAAACGGTGCAGCGGTGATGACGGAAGACCGTGGTCACCTCGTAACCAGCTTCTCTGGATTGGACATCTGGCTCGGGATAGACGCCCCGCCCCCCCAATCTCGGGTAAGCTGGGACCACAGGGAATCTGCCAAGTTTGTAAAAAATCACACATTGGCAAATGTGCAAGGGTCCCGATTGGTGTAATGCACGAACGAGCGCGAGAGTTCACAATCCGAGATTGCTCCTCATTTGGCTGAACCATCCCCGGCCAACGCTCCCTTCGTCATCCCCTCCTTCTCCGATGTATGACACTGTGATCGTCCCTACATGAGTCGACAACACGACCTCGTTGCCTTTCCAATTCTTTCCAATTCTGGAGATCACGCTCGGCAGGCCCGATGTAGCAACATATGGTGCTGTTCACGTTGGAAATGACCGTGACATGGGGCGCGAGCACCGAGGAGAACGATGTCGTTCCTACATCCGTGCTGACTGCGAGTAGGCCGTGGTAATCTCTCTCGGAAAGTAAACCCTGACAGGCGCGGTGTTGGTGTCGCACTTCAGCTGTAACGAAGTCGGGCGGTGCGTGCTATGCATATTCGAATTGGTAAGGGGCCTCTCGAAGCAGCGCCAGGAAGACGACACAGACCACTTTGACCGTGATAGAGCCGATGCTCGACGAAGCAGTGATCACCGCTCGTTTCTTGTCGATCACTTCAACCACCCCCACTGAAGCGCTCCCCGGGCGTATCCAGACATCCACGTCGACACTCCCAGTGTCCGTGCTCAGCGACAAGTTCTTCCTGTCAGAGTGGGCAGGAGGCGCCGCCGCAGATGGGAAGATGGGCTCATACAAAGGGTCAATGACATATGTCCCGCTGATCGACCCGATGTTCTTCGAGACATAGAGGTTGTTGCTGGGTCTGAGGTTTCCGATGGCTGCGGGTATATCGGTATCGCCACACGGGGCGAGGTCGTAGACGCAGGGGTGTACGGTGGGGGTTCCGAATCATTCATCTATACGTTTAAGGTCATATCGACGAATACGAGTTAAAGATAGTCAGGATGTTGCATACCTCCTCAGCGTGGGCGCTGACCTGGCTGCTGTCGGGAATAATCATTGAATATGGGGTAGTTGAACTAGTGCCTTGTAATCAAGGTGGTTGACGACTTCCCTCGCAATGCGCAGCCCTGAGCAGCATTGACGCTTCTAGCCTTAATGTGCAGAGCTCCGCGACATTCGAGTCTGAAACGCCCACTATGCCAGTCCAGGCAAGACGATATTCCAGCAATCGGCGAAACGATAGAGAAGTTTGAGATTTTCCGCACTCAGCAGCCGCTCCACGGCTTACTTATTGGAGTAGGGTATCACCAATTTTGCTCCGCTAATGCTGTGTCCTGATCAAAACAAGAGTGGTGAGTCGTGGTGCACTGTGGACCCGAGTGGGGTATAATTACCTTTCCGGGCTCGGCTGCCTGCGCGAAAGATTCTGAAAGTTCTCTATCGTTTCGCCGATTGCTGTCATAGACCACGGTTATTCGCGGAGTACAGACTCCGCGGCGATTCCACAAAGCCCGTACGCTCTGCCCCTCACCACAGGTCCACGCCTGTTGCATCTTAGATGGGGTTGCAGGGCCACCACAGGGTGATCTGAAGTAACTAATTAAAGGAGCCAAGTCCTCCAGTATCCCAGAGACTCCGCTCGACCTGGTTCCACCGCGCTTGCGGACCCCAGGACATCGACCTCTGGCGGATAGGAAGACTGATGTTCCCTTGTGAGTGGATGTAATCACGGGCTGGTTGGAAATGAACTTCGGATCCGCTGAGGTGCGAAGCAGATATAGTTGTGAAGGCAGTGCTGCAATATTGCTGGAAGGGATCTTCCGCAGGCGCATGTTGCTCGTGCTAAGTGACACAGCATAGACCGCGTAAAGCAAAGCACGACCTATCTTCACGCGACGCGCCCAGGGAGATGCCGACGAAGTCCCGATGAGCGCCAAACCCCCATATGGTCAGAGGCGGGATGAGCATACCTGGACACATTCATCCTAAGTTCTGGTAGCCGACGGCGCTGATCAGGGAAGGACAGCTCTCCGGGTAAATGATGCACGGAGAACAAATAACTGTGTCACCGCGGAGGAACAGAACAGGCAAGATGAAGCAAAATCTGAGCAACTTGGGACCACCAGAAGGGCACAGACAAGAGTCAAATGAGCCGCACCATCGCATCTTCTTCCTAGAAACGCTGCATGAGCGTAACAAAAGCACAAGCCGACGGCCCTGAACTTCAGGGGCAAGACAAGACATCTATGCCGTCCTTTGGACTAACCATCTGCAGAGGCAGAACAAGCCGCGCGCACATCCTCAACGGCTCGTCGCTAAATCTGGATTCTGGAATATCGCGTCAACAGTCAGGATGAAAGGATCGATACCACCAGTGAAATAACGGGCCATGTTATTCCGAAAGCGCCATGAAGGACAACAAATATTGGTATACGATGAAGTTGCGCGGGATGACCGCCCCCGACGTCGGCAGCTTTGCCAATGCTCCGCTCTGGACTACGCCTGCCTGGTATGCTCCTGATGTGGCTCCGAACTGATGGCCTAGTAGCCAGGTGAACCGAACAATCATTCATTAAGGCCCGAATGCTAAGCAGCATGGCTGATCGTGTAGTTGAGGAACCCATGGAGGCTATAGTCGTGGCTGAAGCGCTGCTGCAATTGCCGATGCATTCTGAAGGCCGATGAGTGCCGGCAGAGCGGAAACATTCACCAGTACAAAGATGCAACCACGGATCAGGATAAGACAATGTGAGGAATGGGTCGAACGCTTTGCATGTCCAACTCAAGCCCAACCAGACGCAATAGATACTACTCGCAGGCGGTAAAAATCCCATCGATGAAGCATGGCGTCAAGTCCTGCGGTGTTGTCGGCACTGTCGCGAATCGCCCCCACCTTCCTGAATCTACATAGATGTTGTATTGCTGCACGTTGTTGCATTTCACTTGGGAGCATAGCTGAAGGCGGAAACTGTGGATATCTCCGCGAAAGATGAATATTGCACACCGACTCATACCTCATGTCCCCCGTCCTCCCTAAGCCTAAGCCTAAGCCACCGTCACGACCCAACTCCCACTCCTCTCCGCCATCTTCCTCAAACACCAGCTCGTCCGATGATCCCGCACCGTTACCTCCGGCAGGGCCTCGCACACTCTCTGCCACCCCGCGCCCTCCCCCGTCCCTAAACCCATACTCGGCACCTCCACCCGCCGCAGTGTCCGCTCGAATGCCCGCAACGCCCGCGCGAGCCCCGCGTACTCCTCCTCGTACCGGCACTCGAACTTCACTACCTCCACCGGCGGCTCAGGCGCGACGCGCGAGAGGTGCAGGATAGGGGTGTAGGCGCCCTCAAAGCTCTTGAGATTCGAGAGGACACGCGCCGGGAGGAGGGAAAGGTCGAATCGACCTTCGCCATCGTGCTTGATGCTGAGGGACTCGAGTGAAGGGTGCCGCGAAAGGAAGGAGGCGACGGTCGAAGCCGCACAAGAGACGTAAGCGAGGGAGAGGTGCGTGAGCGCCGGCCAGTGCGCGAGGGCGAGGATGCTGTCGAGAGGGGTACGCGCATTCTCGGGGTCAGCGTAGATGAACATGAGATCGAGGGAGCGCAGGGCGGGGGAGGAGAGCAGGAAAGATTGGAGGCGCGTGAGGAGGGCAGGAGGGGTCGAGGGGAGGGTGCGGTAGGCCATGCTGTGAACTTTCACGGTTGTAAGGTTCCTAAGGTCGAACAGCTGACAAAGAGTAAGGCAAGGATGAGTGTCAATGCAGTATAATCGAGGACTGAGGACGTACCTTCCACTCATGGAATAGCGGTATTTCTCTACCTGGAATACGTCGTCCGTAGTCTTCCACCTGCAGTTCGGACAGGTTCGGACACGAATTCAGGAGTGTCTCCCACACCATATCGTGCCCGTCTGGACTTCTCTCCGAAAGCGCCCATCGAAATGACTTCAACCCGGTCATCCGTCTCATTGCTTTACACAACTCCGGCCTAGCTTCCAGAAACGCATACTCTAACTCCGCGGTAGACCGGGGCAGTCTGTGCACGACGAGGCCACCGGGCACTTTGTAATGGGTCGACAATCGAATAGTAAGCTCCCTGACATTCTCTGCCAAACCACGGTGGTTTGCCAGATGCGTCCAAAGCGGTCGACCGAGGATATGATTCGTGATTCTTCGGTACTCGAGGTGGTCGGGTATGATAATGTCACACAGGCAGCGGGCTGTCAGCGCTAGGCGCAGTAGATCTGCCGGCGAGTCGATTTCGCTGATTATGTAGCAGCAAAGCTCTGTTGGTAGCTGCAATATCGGGAACGTCGTCCGGTTCGCGACGATACTGCTTTCAACCGCCATCTCGAGTGTCAATGTCCTACGCAAATTTCAGACAAGACAGTATCAAAAGACAATTATTTGCTCACTTGTAGCCTCTCAGCACGGCAGTCCTGATAGTTCCAGAGCAACAGGCGTGTCGAGCGGAAGAGCATCATATATGCCTGGTGGACAGGAGGCCCGCAATTTACTGGGCGATCCGCTGGCCTAAAGCATGTTTGCCGAAATGGTTAGACGCCGAGCCTATCAGCGCATTGCCGGTGCAATGCCGGTAGGTCCCGCTGGGTCCTCATATTCATAGGCTCGCTGGAATGTGGCCGTTCTGAATCCCTTCTGGTGATGCACGCCCGTTATCCACAGCAAACGCAAAGCATCTCATGAATCCGTCGGCTTTGAGGGCATGGGGAGCATAAATCGAGGATATTCTTCGAAATGTCGGAGGCCGCCCAAGTTCTCCAGTCGACCTCTAAGTCACTCGATTCTTCTGTATTGTTGGTGCTATACATATCTCTGGAGATACCCTTCAGAATCTATCGAAACTGGGACAGACGTCAGATGTTCTACGCGTGAAGGATGCCTAGCCCATGCTTGGACCGGCGTTGATATTTAGATTCACCAAAAAAGACTGATATATTGCTTTATCTGGCATTCATGGCTGTTTCAAAATACAGACAGCAGCGATGAAACAACCGTGATATCTGTAGAAAAAGATAATTGCAAGATCAAGTGATCCATTGCTGGCGAGCGCAGGGACGACGGCTCTACGTCAGTACACCCTCGCCCTCGGTACCCTGAGACTTCTTCTTACGCGGGTGCACACTGTCCTTCCTTGCCCCGTGCGGCCCAATCCGCACAATGAGGCACATATTGCCGTAGACGAACCCGAGATCAGGCTCGTTCCCGTACGCCAAGTACGGATCACTAAACTGATTCAGCTTGTCAATGCCGGTCACCCAGTGCACTTCCTCAGTAAGCTTTGTCCTGCGCTTCTTGGCATTCACGTCGTGAACAAAGACGCCCGCCCAACGAGCGATGTTCTCGACAACGTCCTCGTTCCCGCCGTAATCCGACCCGTAATTCGTCGGAACGAAATTGTCGGTCATGGCCAGCTGTTTCCGCCCCTCGTAGTAGAGCGCCTTGACGGACGCGTCGAGCGAGAATTCTTTGGCGACCTTCATGACGACGGCGTCGCTGCCCTTCAAGCACTCCTGAGCACGCACGACCGACCTTGCGGGCACAGGATACTCCTTCTGCCGCCCCTTCTCGACCGGGTACTGGTACCGCAGGCCGAAGCCCAACGTCCCGCCGGCGGGCAAGAACGTCGGGTCGTCCAAGAGCTTCCGGAATACCTCTCTGAACTCTTGTTCATAGATATGCCCGGAAATCGAGCGGGCAACACTCGAATCGTTCACCGTCGAGTCTGCGTCGGCGAAGTAGAGGTTGTAAGTCAGGGTGACCCGATAGCCTGACTGCACAGGCGTGACTTCGTGCTCGACATCCCCGTAGAACGCCGCGTAAGCCAGAGAGGGCTCGTTTGACGACCGCAAGAGAGTGCCAGAGTCGAACTCCCACTCTTTCGCCCCGTGACGGATGACGAGTATCCCGCCCTCGTGTGGCGTGGGGTACACAATCACCAGGGACCCGAACATGTTCTCTGCCCTCGGCGTATCCTTGTGGGGTTTGAAGAACGAACCGGGGCCTTGACGGTAGGTAATTAGATATGTGATTGAAAGCTGATGCGAATACTGTGTAGCGTACCATAGATATTGAGCTTGTACAACTCCAATCTTATCGGTTTGCGTTCATCGTGCCCATGGAGCAGTTCGGAGCGGAGAGCATTGATTAGCGCTGCATGGTCAAGGGGGAAATAGTTCGTGGCAAAGGCAGTCTTGTCGAGCTTCCCGGCCTTCCTGTACGAGTCATCCAGCACGTCTTCACTGTTTCGACCAAACGTGGCCGGCGCGCAGGCTTCGGCGAGGTGTCTCAGTTCCTCGTCCGTCGCCTTTGCAAAATCTATTCGCCTTGATGTACAGTATCAGCCCCAGTCCGCCACGACCCGGCTTAACAATTGCTGTAATGGGGTACGTACCGAGCGTCGTTTCCATTCGTCGTGTAGTAGAGCAGGAAGTTATCTTGAGCCACTGGACAGATACCGCTGCAGTACGGCGGCTTGTCGACGATGGCGCTCCGGAGAGCTTGCAGATGTTCCGCGGAAATGGTAGACATCTACGGAGGAGTCTGTATGACCGCGTGCCCTGGAGCTCTACGGGTATTTTATATGTAATGCTCTTGAATGTGAGGGGGCCCGGAATGGAGCTCGATCGCTGCCCGGTCGGGTAAGTGAATGATCGTACATACATATCACAATTCTGAGTCCAGAATGACTCGAAGAAAGGGCCACAAAAGAACATGCGCTGCTCCGTGAGACCAGATTTCCTTCGCCATCGTCCTCCGGAAACGAGTCATAACACGATCCAACTGTCAGTGAGTCGACAGTCGCGACTCTCGACTCTCGAGTGATCCATACATGGATGGAGTGAGCTTAAACAGGACCCCGGCATATGGGTACTGATGTTTGATCCTAAGTGCCCGATTTTCGGCCCTTATGGCCTCACACATTTGGACCGGATATGTCCGCCTCTAGGATCCGGTCAGCCCAAATTGGGCTGCTTATGTCCGCATAAGTGACCTATGCTCGGGCGTCCCCCGGTGTGTCCGCCAAACGGATCCAACCTCGAAACCGGCACACGCCCAACGCTGCAACGAGTAGATCGTGACATGATTACTCCGGGATATTGTATTTCAGTCTTCCTAGGATCCACCACTGTTTCCAAAGCTTGCATTTCATTCACCGTTGCTGAGGATATACCTGGATATACACGAGACGAGCTGACAGTTGACTGAGAAGCATAAGAGACACCACTCAACCTAGTACAAGGACTACTGGGTGTGACACTTCGACGACTCCGTATGTCCGCCAGGTGATCGGACACCAAGACCGGCAAGGCCCTTGTGTCCGCCGTGATATACCGGACATGGACCGAAATTTTGGGCTTTATGTCCGCCTA